CCTTAGCTACTTCATATATAAAATAGTTTTTTCTTAATGGTAATGATGAAAAGTAATAACAATAATATTGCAGAACATACAAATATTATTAATAAGACTATGCTTAGTTCATAGTTGGTACTTAAACTTTGCCTTCTGTTGCCACTTCAGGTTCAAGTTTACATGGTAGAAACATGATAAAACAGTCTCTATCTTCCTAATCCCATTTACACATGAAAAATCTATAACCTTGAGTTCTGGGTGGTACAGAATTTGGGGTCAAAAGATGAAGATATGGTCATGGTTCTCTCACTCATCTATTTTGTGATTTTGGAAGATCATGGAACCAGACAGTTAAAAAGAATTTTATACCATCCTTAAAATCTTAAACAGGTCTAGAGCTCTTTTCCATCTACAAAATGAAATAATCTGTGGTGCAAATACATAATATCTAAAAATAACTTCAAGCCATTTTAAAATAAAGAAATAAAAAATAACACAGTGCACTTGGTTGCTAAGGGAAACAGATTCTGCAGTCTCAGAGCAGTAGTAAATTAAAACATCTCAAGGCACCCTAAGCAATTAGTTCTATGACCCAGATAAATGCATTGGATTTTATGGCCACCAGAGACTTCAGAATGTTTCAACAGCTTGCAACAAGGGCCTCTCACCCCCAGGCAGGTAGAGAAATACAGCTGGGTGGGGAGGGAGCACTATTTGGCCCCTTTACTGAGTTGTAACTGACATACAATAAAATGTACAGTTAGTTCTCACATATGTGTATACCTATGAAACCACCACCAGAATCAAGAAACTGAATTTATCCATCGCTTTGTGGGAAGGGTTTTGATCACTACAGTAATGAGGAGATATTACTGGCATGGCCTGGGGATGACAAATGTTCAGTCTTGCACAAAGAATTAGCTCATCCAAAAAAAGTCAATAGCACATTTGTTGACAAACACTGGGACCAAGCCTTTGCTAAACCAAAGAAGAAACAGTCCAGATGAGGAAACTGAGGCAAGACCACATGTGAGCTTCTTGTTTCCATGTAATGCATCTGGAGCATATATGTTCTTTTTAAATTATTATTGGAGTAATAATTATCTTTCCAATTATTATTGGAATATAGTTGTTCCAGAAAAACATCTACTTCTGACTATGCTAAAGGCTTTGACTGTGTGGATCACAACAAACTGTGGAAAATTCTTAAAGAGATGGGAATACCAGACTACCTTAGNTTATGGTTAGATTTGATCCTTCTCCGAAAAGTCACTAAGAAATGACTGATTCAGCTTGTGCTTTGCCCAATAAAACAAAACCTGAGACATTTGTTATTAAGCAGATGTCTGAGAATTATCTTCTCAGGGTCTGTTTGAGATTCAAACGTTCCTCCGTCTCAGCCTCCCTTGAGCTGCTGGATGAGCCACTTTTACACACTGCTGGTCTCCTCACTTCTCATCCATCTCTCTTAACCTTTTCTTTACTTATTAATCCAGCCAAACTTTTGTTTAACCAGGTATCACAATTATTCAAGACCGGCCTTTTCTCTCCAAGGTGAACTTGGAGAGTAATTCTATGAAAATAAGATAGTAAGATTTGAAAAAAAATATATATATATATGTGTGTATATATGTGTGTGTGTGTGTATATATATATATATATATATATATATATATTCCTTCTTTTTTGGATTTCTGTCCCATTTAGTTCACCACAGAGCACCGAATAAAGTTCCTTGTATTGTGTGTTCTTTAAACAAGCAATGCACTATTTGCTAGATTCTAGTCTGAATCAAATGATTCATGTCATATTGACATTTTTAAAAGCGACACAAACTCTGAATGATACATCTGAATGTGACAGTGGACTCTTCTCAATAGGACCAGTTAGCTGGGTGCTCCCTGCCCCAGGGACATGCCTGTCACTCAGTGGCTGCTGCTGCTTTCTTGGAACACAGAGTTAAGGTCAAAGATGCAAAATCCAGGTAGGTACAACTTTGGTTCTCTATTCCTGAAGAAAAAAATCTCATTTTGTCTTAATCATAAAGATGCAGTATGCTTATGATAAACTGTCCATGAACAAAAGGAATCAAAACACTCAGAAGGGCCTGAAAACAGTGTTAGTTGCTCAGCTGTGTCCGACTCTTTGCGACCCCATGGACTGTAGCCTCTGTCCATGGAATTCTCCAGGCAAGGCTACTGGAGTGGGTAGCCATTTCCTTCTCCAGGAGATCTTCCTCACCCAGGAATTGAACTGGATCGCCCACAATGCAGGCAGATTCTTGACAGTCTGAGCCAGCAGGGAAGCCCCCTAAAAGTGTCTATGAAGACCTTATTTATGCACTCCTTGTTGTATGGTATCTCATAGAGTGTCATGTATAATTCAATTGTTAAATATATATAATTTTTATATTTAAGATATTAATTTTAAAATCACTTGGGGTTTTATGTGCTCCAAGAACAAAAGTTGTTATCTATTAGAACAAGTGTTACTCTAAAATGGGAAGCAATGTGCCAACTCAGTGATTCTCAAACTTCTATGTGCTTAGAGTCACCTGGAGCAATTATTAAACAGATTCCTGGGTCCTAGCCCCAGCATTTCTAATTTTGTTGATCTGGGAGCAGGGAGCCCAAGAACCTGCATGTCTAACTAGTTCTAGATGATGTTGATGCTGCAGGCCTGAGGACCACATGCTTCCTCCTGGTGCCCATCAACGGCTGGCTCTGTTGATTGGACAGAGTGAGTAGAAGAGATCATCCAGGATGGAACACCCTGCTCTTTGTACACCCATCTTTTCTATAACTGCTCTAGTGCCCTAACTCACTGCCAGCCATCCTTTCACAAAAGGACTCAAAAAAACCCAAAAAACGAAAAAGGTTGAATGGTTTGAGTAGAGGCCCCAGAAGACCATGAGAATTAGAATACTCTGTAAACACATTTAAAAGAATTTGAGCCTAACAGAACATACCAAAAGATTAAGATAAACTCATGACCTCCTGACTTTAAAGAGGAAAAAATGGTTAATACATACTTTTTTGAATGATAGACTGTTAAAAAACACAAAGGACAATTTCCAGCCACAGAGAGAATAACAATGTCATGAACAGACAGGATTATATCTTAAGGCTTGGGGTTGTCCATATTCTGCATGAAAACTAGTTCTCATAACTGCAAGGGAAAGAGAGGCAAACTTCTAACCTTTCATAGGCCAACTTTGTCCTTTAGCTAAGAGGATTTAAAGCAAAATGAGGCACAGATGAACCCACTTTCAGGGCAAGAATAGAGATGCAGATGTAGAGAATGGACATGTGGACACAGGGGAGAAGGGAAGGGTGGGGCGAATTGGGAAATCGGGATTGACATGTATACACTACCATGTGTAAAATAGCTAGCTAGTGGGAACCCACCGTACAGCACGGGAAGCTCAGCTCAGGGCTCTGTGATGACCTAGATGGGTGGAGGAGGATGGGAGGGAGGGGATATATGTATACACACAGCTGATATACTTCACTGTACAGTAGAAAGTAACAAAACATTGGGGTAAAGCGATTATATTCCAATTCAAAAAATAATGCTGAGATGATAAATTTTAAAAGAACGAGGCTGTCTGGGTTTATAGCTGACTTTCTTTATGTGCTCTGTTGCGACTACATGGACACACTCATCTAAAGCTTTTATTTCTAGGAAGTTGACGCCTGGACAAAGAAATAAAAGTAAGTACCATTTCCCTGAAGATTTTTAAAGACAATGAAAACATGGAGAGAAGAAGTGTCACCCAACCATTCTCATTCGAGCCTAGCAATAATTGATAATAAAACTGGCTTATTTTAGAGAGAAACATTTACTTTAAAATAAATGACAAGTCAATCCTTATAGCCACAAAGACAATAAAATTGCTTCCAAACCCCTAAGTTGAGTATCTATCTTCTTTCTTTGAAAAGTCCTGTCAGTGGTAGTGACAGTTCCAATTTAATAGTGAGTACTTCTCTTCTTGCATTAACTGAGCATTAGACTTTTAAATTATTTGTTTTATTTTGGTATAGCATGCATAATATAAATTTACCATCTCACCCATTTTTAAACGTATACTTATGTGGCATTATGTCCATTCACACTGTTGTGCAACCATCACTATCATCCATCTCAGATTTATTTAATTGATTTATCCCCCCAGTATGGGGCTTCCCAGGTGGCACTAGTGGTAAAAAAAAAAACAAAACAACAACACTCGACTGCCAATACAGGAGACATTAAGAGATGTGAGTTTGATCCTGGGTCGGGAAGATCCCATGGAGGAGGGCATAGTAACCCACTCCAGTATTCTTGCCTGGGAAATCCTATGCACAAAGGAGCCTGGTGGGCTACAGTCCGTAAAGTCACAAAGAATCAGACACGACTGAAGTGACTTGGCACGTTAGCATGCACATGATAAAGTTAGAGGTGACATGTACGGGTAACTTGGCTGTCTTTTCAAATATGCTGTCAACATAGGGGAATTCCCTTAAGTTTTCTGGAGGAGACTTAAAAGAGGAAACACATGAGAATATTTAGATAGCAGAACCAATTACGGGTTCCCCAACTCATTTCTTAAATTAGGGCTACAGCAAAAACTTGCCACCATCTGCTGCGTCCCAGGTGCCCTCTTTTTCTAAACTTATGCAGACATCACTTTGTGATTACTCTACTCTTTCCCACTGAATTTCAAAGTCTTTCTCCATACAGTCTTTCAGGCATTATTACAACTAATTAATTACAGCTGACCCATAGGATGAACTCTATTTACCATCTGCTATAAAAATGTAGGCCATGTTAAAAAAAATGCAAGCCATTTAATGCAACCGAAAGTAATAATTACTTGGATTACTTTTGGGCACACCAAGGTCCAACAGGAACATCAGTACATGATGTACACATGCATGGGTAGAAAAGTCTTGTACCAGTAGAAAAGTCTTCAATATGGGGATGTCACAAGAAAGGTTCCTTAGTATGGAAATCATCACAATAAACAATGTTCTTACCTGGGCAGGAACACACTTTCCACCACATAAAAATCCTGCATGAGAACATCTCGGTCTGGCTTGGAGGTGAGATTACCCACTGTGTATCCTATTCCCAGCTGAATAGCACCTTTGATGGCAGATGATGCAGTCTGCAGGGAAAACAAGGATTTCAGCGTTAGCCTCAATAGTCGGGACCTTGTTCAATGTCACAAGTAGCAAAAACAGGAGAGTGAGGTTAGATTTCTTCTCTTGTTCCTAAGCAACAAGGAAACTAGGTTTAGAAAGATGACAGGATGCTTCTTTTGATGGAGAATCCTTTCCAAACATCAAGGACCCTTCTTTCCATGAAATTATTTTGGTGGTTATCTTTCCTATAAATGTTCCTAAGGTCAAATTACTGTCCAAAATCTCCATATTTCTTTTATTAAGAACTTAAAAACTTTCAAAATATAGCATTATAATTTCTACCAAAGGATAATTGGTACAGTCACATTTTTAAAAAATCAGAAGTTCTGTAACATTTCTATGGATCAGGAAGAGTATTTTGACTTCATAAGAAATGAGAGAGTAAAAAAATAATTTCAGCCTTTGGAATACACAAAATTTAATTTGAAAATTGCTTACTAGTCTTGCCAAGGGTCCATAATCAAAATTTCCTTCACTGATCTATAATAAAACACAGAGGTTTGGAACCTCAATATTTTAAACTTACTGCTTTTCTAATATTATTCCACAGTTAAACTGACATAATGTTAACTTGGAGGAATGACATATATATTTGTGTGTGTGCATACGTGTGCATGTACGTATAAATAGTTTTAACCAACAAACATAATAGGAGAAATAGAATAACTTAATTTAGGAAAATCAGAATACACTCTTCTTAATGGTGCAAGTGTGGCATATTTTTTTTACACCTTGCAATGTTTAATATAGTACACACTGGGACAGAAGAGCCTAGCAGGTTACAGTCTATTGGTTGCATAGAGTCCAACACAACAGAGCGATTATCACTCTCACCCAGACAGTGGGAACTAAATAAATACTTAAATCACTGGTTCTCAGTCAGGGGCATTTGACATTGGAGACATTTTTTAGTTGTCGTTAACTGGTGGTGGTAGTGCTATTGGCATCTAGAGGGTAGAGGTCAGGAATGCTGTTACAACATCCTACAATGCACAGGATAGCTTCTCATAACAACAAATTATCAAGCCCCAAATATTAGTGCTGAGGCTAAAAAACCATGCCTTAAAATGAATGTAGTAAAGATCACCTGCTTAATAAAAAATATTCTTTTTGAGTTAACATTTTCACTTAGCAAGTCCAAGACCCATCTCCATCTTCCCAGATGCTGCTGTTTTTTAAAAAAATTTCTTCATGCTTTTAACATAAAAAAATATCTCTTCTTGAAAAAAATGTATCCTCTTGATTTCTGTGATAGAACACAGTTGTGTCCATGTCTACCTTTTCTGATGGTCTCTCATTTCTTCACTAAATTCTCATATTTTGTTTGCTGTAATTGCTGTCCCTAAAAGTTGGATCCTTGATTCTCAAATTTCCTTAGTTATGTAGATGATCAATACATTCCTAATGGTTTCAAATACTGGCTCCATGCATATGACTTTCAGAACCTCCTTGGACACTGTTTTATCATCACAAACACAATACATGTGGCACCAAACCATTATCTTAGAGCCAATCCCCTGGTGTCCCTCTCCCTAAGCTCTGTAATCCTGTCACTGAAGGGTGAACCCCAAGCAAACCACATCTTACGTAGGGCTGGGTCTCCAGGAAATATTGGCTGACTGGGCCTGAAATGGTCATGGTCATTCATACGGCTCAGTCACTTCCACTATACAATCAGTAACCCTCACTATCCCATGGAGTCATCATTCAATCGTTCTGCTTATTTCACTGCAAATATCATATCAGCCTTAGTGTGAGGACAACTATTATACTATCCCCTTCTGTGCAGTTAAGAGAAACATCCTGGGGCTTTTCTTCTTTACATATGCCTTTTTACTTACGATCCCAGAGCAGCAAGATGGCAAAAGACTGAGAGTCAAGCCCAACTAGTGCAACTAGTACTTCAAAAACAAAAAGCTGCTATTTTAATCTTCCCACTGCGAGTTCAGCAATGCCACCAGTTGGCATCAGTGACCTTTTGTACCAATAGCTCTGACTTCTGAAGGCTGAAATGAATTTTTCTCATTTTAACCTCACATAAAAATTCAAAAGGTTTCTCTTCTCCTATCTGTCACACAGGGCAGTATGGCACAGGACGTGACATCAGTATTTTCCAGAAGACACCTGCGGTCTGAAACTTTCTATTCCAGATCTATCAACAGACGCACACACTCTCAAACTGTTTTTCCTTCTCTTTACCACACCCCTGACTCTGCTTCCAGAAATACCTGTATTTCTGCTTAACTCAGTCATTTAGTGTGCTTCTTGGACTGGAACACATGTGAAACATGGGATGCCCAATTCCTTGTTAACGACCCTTCAGTCTTATCCCAGAGAAAGCAATGGCAACCCACTCCAGTACTCTTGCCTGGAAAATCCCATGGACGGAGGAGCCTGGTAGGCTGTGGTCCATGGGGTCGCTAAGAGTTGGACACGACTGAGCGTCTTCACTTTCACTTTTCACTTTCATGCGTTGGAGAAGGAAATGGTAACCCACTCCAGTGTTCTTGCCTGGAGAATCCCAGGGACAGGGGAGCCTGGTGGGCTGCCATCTATGGGATCACAAAGAGTCGGACACAACTGAAGCGACTTAGCAGCAGTAGCAGCAATCTTATCCCACCCCCAGCAACAGAAGGTAGTCAAAGTTGCAGCAGTCTATATCTGGTACTTGCAAACTTTAGAAAGTCTGAGAATCACTGGGTCATTTGTTAAAACGGACCAAAACCACAACTATGGAGAGTGTAAGAAGATCAGTGCTTGCCAGGGGGTTGGGGAGAGGAAGTAGAATACAGAGGATTTTCAGGGCAGGGAAAACACTCTACACAATTCCTTTATGATGGTGTGTCATGCATGCTCCTTCGTGTCTCTTTGTGACTCCATGGACTACAGCCCACCAGGCTTCTCTGTCCATGGAATCTTCCAGGCAAGAATACTGGAGTGGGTTGCCTTTTCCTTCTCCAGGGGCTCTTCCCGACCCATGGATCGAACCCACATCCCTTGAGTCTCCTGCATTGTCAGGTGGATTCTTTACCACTGAGCCACCTGGGAAAGTCCACTTTTATGATGGATATACATAATTATGAATTTGTCTAAACCCATAGAATGTACTCCATCAAGAGTGAGCCGAAATATAAACTGTGGACTTTGGGTGATTATGATGTGTCCATGTAGGTTCATCAGTTGTAACAGTGAAACACTCTGGTGGGGGATGTTGACAACGGGCAGGCTGTGCATGTGTGGGTACAGGGGGTGGTGGGAAATTTCTATATCTTCCTCTCAATTTTTTGGTTAACCTACAACTGCTCTAAAGAACAAATCTTTATAAAAATGTCAGCAAGCACTGAAAAACAAGAACCAAAGTGACGTATGGATTGCATCTCCAAAATTTCTGATTTGGAAAGTCTGCAGTGAGGCTCAAAAACTTGCTCTTGCTCTAAGGAGCATCAAGAAACTTTCTTCTCCTGTGGTACAAGATTGAATTTTGAGTTCCTAAAGGAATAAGATTTTGGAAAGGAGCTCACTGACATCTGTTTAGTTAAATAAAAAAAACAGACTTATAATAATAATACTACTTTCTTTTCATGCTCCTTAAAATTCAAGTGCTCTGAAGACAGAAATGAGAGAAGTCTTAATAAAAGTGAATATTTTTTAATCATCTATTTGTGCCAGGGACTTGACATATGGATAACAACAATAATAATCATAATCAATCATAATTATGGCATATACTTAAAGAGCATTTACTGAAAGCACTATGAGGCAATCACTATTCTAAGTGCTTTTGGTTATATTAACTCTTCTATCCTCACAATAACCCTGTGAGGTAGGTACTATTATTATCTTCATTTTACTGACTCAAGTAGGTTTAGTTACTTACGCGAGGTCACACGGATAGCAAAGAGGTAGAGCTGGGACCCATACCTGGGAAGTTTGGCTCCACAGTCCAGATCCAGGTTATAAACAAGTACTGTGCTGCCTCTAACAGCAGAATCTCTGACCTCATTTAACCCTTTCAAGGACACTGAAGAGAGGGAGAATCACACCCATTTTACAGGTGGGGATTTGAAGCTCAGCAAGGTTATATGACTGCCTCTCTCACATTGTTAGCACATGGCAGAGTCTGCCTGCAAAGCCCATGCCACTTCCCTGTCTCTTTTTTTCAAAATGAATCTAGAATCAAAGTCAAAAGCTCTGTTTTAAGCCTGGCTGTTTGACCTCAGCAAAGGAAGCAGCTGTGTGGGAGCCATGCCTTTTGATGAAATAGGAATAAAATATTTTATTTGCTACTAATCATACTCAATCATGGGTAAGCCTAAAAGAAACCTGTAAACCACCTGGTAAACCAATATGAACATCTCTGTTAAAGTCACTACTAATAACATGGGGAGGTACAAACAAAAGGAGATATTTTGCTGCCAAGGGAGGATGGCTACCTCTGGCTACCTCCTCCTCATCTCTGTGTTAGATTAAATGCTTTAGCATAGATGCATTGGGTATAACTCAAAAGCATCTCGACTATTTCATGGATATGTCTGATTGCACTGTGGCACATGGTTTTCTAAGTTACCAGCAGGAAAGGCTGTACCACCTGGCATTTTCCTATTAGACATTAGGCACAGGGACCAAGATGGGAGAAACCATAGTATTTTCTGACACAGTCACTCTTGAGCAAGATGTGTTTTAAAGTTACAAAAACACTTAGAAATGCTAACGGGAGTTTCTGATTAGCAGACCAGTAAATCATGATGACTACAAACCTGCCCTGTGCAGTGCAGGTTTGTCTTCTTCTAGAGCCAACAGTTCTTTCCTTCTAAACTCGAAGCCCACCAACAAGCCCTCTCAGACCAACATGCCTACCAACAGATCAGCTAACAGATCTGCTAACTCATTAGCAGATTCAAACACACACACACATGTGGTCCTTCCAATTTTCTGTGTGGCTTTGCATATGCTCTAAACACGT